TTCTGAGACTTTTGGATGTGGACCGAGTCACACTCCTGGAATCCCAGGGGTCCCAGCTTGCTGAGAGCCTGTCCTGAGACTTTTCATCCTCCAGGTCCCAGAATACGTCCCCTCTTGTCTAGCTATCTCTACTGATATCCTATTGGTGGTGTCTCTCGGGAGTCCCGATTAATCCATAGGGGTATTGTGAGGGAGAAATGAGGTCTTGCATGGGGGGCATGTCACACGCTGCCTGACACATGCCCATGTCCAATAGGCTGCAGCTTCAGTTATTCTAGAGCTTAGCTTAGTGTTCAAAGCAGTGGAAGGCCTTCTCTCTGGTACCTAGCCATCTCGTTGAGCCGCTCCTGTCATTTATCCATTCCAGAGTGTTTTTTAAAGAACAGTTCTGTGTCCTGTGCAACATGGATGCGGGGCTAAAGACGATCTGTGTGGCACCATCTCGGCTCACTGCAACCCCCGCCTCCCGGGTTCAAGTGATTCTCCTGTCTCAGCCTCCGGAGTAGCTGGGACTACAGGTGCGTGCCACCACACCTAGCTAATGTTTATATTTTTAGTACTGACGGGGTTTCACAATGTTGGCCAGGATGATCTCGATCTCCTGACCTCGTGATCCGTCTGCCTTGGCCTCCCAAAGTGCTTAGATTGCAGGCAGGAGCCACCACACCCAGCCTTTTCTAAATTCTTCTGCCAACTAAAACCAACTATTAAGAGTTGCAAAGAACATGATTTTCAGGATCAGGCTTCACTTAGTATTGTAATGATTGTTTGCTCTTTCTATGTAATGAGTTTCATGGGAAAGCCCAGTTAAGTCAAACCTATGTATTAATTCAACAGTAACAAAATTCTATTCAACCAGAATAGGTTCCCTATGTTCTACACTTAACTATTCTTGTTGTCTCTATTTTACTACTTACTTAGGTACATGACTTACCTGTAGTACTAATTCATTATTCCAACAATAACGAAGCAGTAAGTGCTGAGAAGAAAGTGATTTTTATTTTTAAAATTTATTCTTATTGAGGTAAAATATACATATATAATGTACCCTCTTTACCATGTGTAAGTGTGCAGTTCAGTGGTAATAAACACATTTATATTCTTTTATTTTCCCTTCCTTCCCCACTTCCCCTTCTGGCCTCTGGTAACCATCAGTATACTTGCTATCTTCATGAGAACCACCTTTTTAGCTCCCATATATGAGTGAAAACATGCAATATTTGTCTTTCTATGCCTGGCTTATTTCCTTTAATATAATGGCCTCCAGTTCCGTCCATGTCACTGCAAATGACAACATTTGATTCTTGTTATGGCTGGATGATATTCCATTGTGTACATATACCACATTTTCCTTAGCTATTCATTCATTGATGAGCTCTGAGGCTAAATCCGTATTTTGGCTATTGTGACTTGTGCTGCCATACACATGAGCATGCAATTATATTGCTTTGATGTAGAGATTTCTCTTTCTTTCTTTCTTTCTTTTTTTTTTTTTTGTAAAAGTTTTTTTTTTTTTTTTTAGGTTTTGTATATTTTTATATCACATTGTAATTTTTATAGGACAAAAAAGGCAAGGTTAGAGACATTTTTATCCGGAAGTTAGTGAAATGGTCTAGGTTAAAATTATACCAGCAGTAAAGTTCTCAGCTATATCTAAGGATTAAATTCTTTCTTTTCTTTCTTTCTTTCTTTCTTTGTTTCTTTCTTTCTTTCTTTCTTTTTCATTCTTTCTTTCATCATTTCTTCTTTTCTTTCTTTCATCTTTCCTTCTTTTCTTTCTTCTCTTTCTTTCTTTTTCTCTTTCTTTCTTTTGTCTTTCTTTCTCTCTTTCCTTCTTTCCTTCTTTTTTCCTTTCTTCCTTCACTTTCTCTCTGTCCCTCCTTCCTTTCCTTCCTTCCTTCCCTCCTTCCTTCCTTCCCGCCTTCCCTCCCTCCCTCCCTCCTTCCTTCCTTCCTTCCTTCCTTCCTTCCTTCCTTCCTTTCCTATCTCTTTATTGCTGTCTCTCTGTCTCTGTCTCTTTCCCCCGCAGTAGAATTCTCGGATCATGTAATAGTTCTGTTTTTAGGTTTTTGAGGAACTACATACTGTTCTCCACAGTGGCTGTAGTAATTTCCATTCCCACCAACGGTGTACAAAGGTTCCCCTTTCTCCACCTCCCTGCAGGCATCTGTTCATGGGTGTCTTTTGGATAAAAGCCATTTTAACTGGGATGAGATGATATTGCATTGTGGTTTTGATTTGTATTTTTCTGACAATTCGTGATGAGTATTTTTTCATGTGCCTGCTGGCCATTTGTGTGTCTTCTTTTGAGAAATGTCTCTTCAGATTATTTGTCCATTTATAAATCAGACTGTTGCTAAGTTTTTTGAGCTCCTTATGTACTCTGGTTATTAATCCCTTGTCAGATGGAGAGTTCACAAATATTTTCTCCCATTCTGTGAGTTGTCTCTTCACTTGGTTGATAATTTCCTTTGCTATGTAGAGGCTTTTTAACTTAATGTAATTCAAATGCCTTATTTTGCTTTGGTTCCTGCACTTTTGAGGTCTTAGTCAAGAAATCTTTGCACAGACCAGTGTCCCAGAGCATTTCCCTCAATGTTTTCTTCTGATGGTTTCAGTTTCAGGTCATAGATTCAAGTCTTCAACCCATTTTTGATTTGATTTTTGTGTGTGGTGAGAGATAGGAATCTAGTTTCATTCTTATGCTTATAGTTATCCAGCTTACCTAGCACTATTTATTGAAATGTCTCTCTTTTCACTGTCGTAAGTTCTTGGTGTCTTTGTTGAAGTTGAGTTGGTTGTAAACATGTGGCTTTATATCTGGGTTCTGTATTCTGTTCCATTTGTCTGTGTGTCTGTTTTAATACCAGCACCATGTTGCTTGGTTTACTATAGCTTTGTAGTAAATTTTGACTTCAGGTAATGTGATGCCTCCAGCTTCTTGCTTTTTGCTCAGGATTGTTTTGGCTACTCGAGGTATTTTATGGTTTCATATGAAAATTGTAATTTTTTTCTGATTTATGTGAAGAAAGCCATTGGTATTTGTATAGGGGTTGCATGAATCTGCAAATCACTTTGGGGAGCATTGTCATGTTGACAATATTAATCCTGTCAATCTATCTTTCCATTTCTTCATGTCCTGAAAATGGGCGTGTTACATGGTGAGTTACAGGGACAAAGTAACCCCGTGGCGACAAATTTCTCTATCAGGGGCTGTAAGCCTATTTGAGCCTATCTGAGCTTTGGGCTATAAATGATATTGGGGCTTCCTAGGGAAGGAGTTGAGATTTTTAAAGTGGATTTTTATAGGATCTGTGAGCAATGAATGTCCTGGAGTGGAAGTATCCCATACCTCTGTAGAATGTGTTTTAGAAGGGAAGGTTTTATTACCTTTGGGCTTTTGGTATCAGGGGCTAGTGAGGCTGATAATGGGCAGGCGAGTTCAGACAATCAAAGGTTGGTTTGGAGCTTTGTCATTATGTCCTTCCCAGGTAGCAGGCTATAGAAGAAGCACAAGGAATGTATTAGGGCAGTGAAACTACTATGGATGATACTGTGATAGTGGATACAAGATTGCCTTGGTCTGAATGTTTGTGTTTCCAGAAAATTCATATGTTGAAATCCTAACACCAAGGTGATGGGATTAGGTAGGAGGTGGGGTATTTGGGGGCTGATTAAATTACGGGAGCTGAGCCCTCATGAATAGGATTAGTGCCTTTATTAAATAAACCCCACAAAGCTCCTTTGCCCCTTCTTCCATGTGAGGACAGAGGGAAAAGAGAGCTGACTAGGAACTGGGAAGTGGGTCCCTACCAGACACAAAATTTGCCAGCAAATTTTGAACTTCATCTTGGACTTCCCAGCCCCCAGAACTGTGAGAAATATAATTCTGTTGTTAATATGCCATCCAGTCTCTTGCATTTTTTGTTATGGTAGTCCAAATGGACCAAGGCAAGTGCACAAGGCATTTTTTTCAAAACCCATAGATCTTTACAGCATGAAAAGTGAAGCTTAATATGTGCAAATGTTAAAACTACCTTAAGAAGTTGGAACATCACAGGACAGAATGCAGAATATTACACACACACACACACACACACACACACACCTAGCAGTATTATAAATGTATGAAATTACCTCAGTGGAGCAAGAGGGGGAAAAGTTAGTGACCTAATAATGTTGAAAATGAGTGAAGTCTAGTTTGTAAGACTAAATACCAAAGGAGCTACACGTACAATTTTTTTTCCCATGGAGGCACAAGGGTATGGGTTACCAAATCCGAATCTGCTATAGATGCATACTGGCACTGAACCATTAATTAAATGGATGGTGGATGATAGGAGCCAGGTTTCTCATTGATGACTTGGTAGGCTATGTACAAACAAGGAGAAGCAGCTAGAGTGATCCTTGTGGCAATGGATTAGAGTTGGAGACCTCAGTATAAAATTACATTCAATTTAGTATAGAGTCAAATGTTTGTATATATCAAATTAATAGATATTTGTACATCCATGATATATACACATATATTTAATTGTTCTGTCAGTAGAGAAGCTTATCACTAAAAGCTACCCAGTAGCAATGAGCACACGGGCCTCCCAGATGTAGATTTTTAGAACCATTTCCTGATAGAAGGAACCTGACCTCTGGAGAAATGGCTTATTTTAAACATGTGGCAGAGCATAAACAAGATGAGCCAGGAACATCTTGTAGCCCTAGAAATGAAGGGCTGAAGAATATGATAAAGGATATCATAGTGTTGTATTCAGCAAAATCCAGACTATGGATAACTAGAAAGAACACAAGACCCATTTCTTTCCAACGACAAGAAAGCCATAGCAAGAAAACAGGTCCTGAGTTCCTGTGGAGGGGACCTACAGACAACAGAAGACTTAAGGGTTATAACAAAACAAAATGACTATATAATACTATATTGGCATAATCATTCAAAGAAACACATTTTTATGAATATAAGTCTGCCACATAAGAGTGTAAACTAGTTGAACTTTTGATAATCATTTATTTAAGTTTTTTAGAAATAAAAACTGTATTGGGATTTTGGCTAATATAAAGTCCTTAACTTTTAGGAAAACATATTGAGGTATTTAGAGATGAAATGGAATGACGTCTTAGATTTGCTCCACATTATTCCAGCAGCTGAGATGCAAGTAGGTGAGCGTCGAACTGGAACCAGATGTGCCATGTCTTGAAGGTGGTTGATGCTGAGTGTCAGATGTTCTGGGTTCATTATATTATTCTATTGTTCAAGGCGTTTGAAGTGCTCTGTAATAAAACGTTTTCATCATAAATATCATGCCGCTAAAAGTGAAATCCTAAGTGAAACTGAACACTTTGCAGAATTAAAACAAATAAATGATGAAATCAGTCCAAAAAGAAAAATAAAATTTTAATGAAACGATACAAACTGAAACTGTACAATATTCACAAATCAAGCCACCCTCAAATCTCTCAGATTAGGCAGTTTTGGAGGCCAATTCTACCAAATGACCAGGGAAAAGTAACCACTATTTTATCTCAACTCTTCCAAGGCATACAAAATATAGACAATGGTTCAATTCGTTATCCCCAACTAGCCCTTCTGGATACAAAAACCAGATGAGGACCACTCCCACCCTGATGAAAAAAACACATCAAGCAACCTTACTTATATAACAGCACACATCTTATCTAAATTGGTGGCATATTAAATGAACAGGCAGACTCGGCCTAAGGAAAGGAAATAAGATTTAACCTTACAAAAAAGAAACTTGTTTCAGTTTAATCCTTGCATACAAAATGGAGAATAGGAAAAGCTTTTAAAGGAAATTCAGTATAAGTTCATGGTAAAAATATTTAGTTAACCTATATTGAAAGAGAACTTCCATTTTCTAAAATCAACAGCAAACATACATCAATGCGAAACTTTCGAACACTTATTCAACTCGGAAGAAGTAGATGTAGGCTATAACCTCTAAGTCTTAAATCTGCACTGAGACATAAAGTCAGAGCTATAAATATCAAAATAAAGAGTATGGATACTGGAAACATCTATAATGTTTAGTGATAATACCATTATAGGTCTTGAAAACTCAAAGAAATAGACATGTGGAAGATTCAGGTGAACGGGCCTTCAGAACGAGGTGTGTAACAGATTACTATAACAGAATCAAAATCTTTGCCAGATGAAAGCAATGAGTAACTAGAACAATTAATAGACAATATGCAATTTTCAGTAGCATCAAAATCCAAGAATTACCTGAAAAGAAGCCTAGCAAAATGCAGAATGTCTTTATAGAGGCAACTATCACAGTATACTGACAGATTCAAGTAAAAGGAGTTTGAAATTAATTGTACTTCAATTACTTATAATTTAGTATCTTACCTGTAGCTGCCAACATTGCAATTAAACTTGGGCTGCTGTTCTCTGTTTCTCAGATCAACCCTGGGAAATGATAGAAGGGAAAAAGAAAGAGAAAGACACAGTATCAGCAACAAAATCTAAGAAAGGAAACAGAGAAAGCCCTGGGTGAGAGTGAATACTGTGTTGAGCTGGTACTTGTGTTTGACACTTGCAGTGTCAGCTGGAGTTGGCGGCAGGGATGTTGAGGAGGTCTATAGCCTGTCTAGATAGCAGATGACAGAATGGTTAGAATGCAAGTTTTAAAATTTTCACTTCACACCATTGTACAATCTGAGGCAGCACCTGAAAACATGAGCTAGTAGCCCTAGGGTGATAGCAGGACACCAGGAAAATGGGGCTGGTTAAGACACTATGGCTCCAGAGTTCTGCTAATAACAACCTGAAACCAGCATAGTGGGAGAGGAATTGCGTTAAAAAAATGTGTCAACAGAACATAAAGAATGGAAAAGAAGTAGAATAGGGTATCAGTGAATCATGCAAACTAAGGGTACGCATTCTCATATATATAGCTACCTACATATATCCTTGGAAGATACATAAAACATATTTCTTTTTCCTTTTCTTTTTTTGAGAGAGTCTCACTCTGTCGTGAGGCCCATGGTGAAGTGCGATAGCACAGTCTCGGCTCACTGCAACCTCTGCCTCTCAGGTTCAAGCAATTCTCGTGCCTCAGCCTCCCGAATAGCTGGAATTATAGGCGTACGCCACCACATCTGGCTAATTTTTGTATTTTGTGTGGGGACTGGGTTACAACCATGTTGGCCAGGCTGGTCTCGAACCCCTGACCTCAGGTGATCTGCTCATATCGGCCTCCCAAAGTGCTGGGATTACAGGCGTGAGCCACTGTGCCCAACCATAAAACATTCATTTGAGGACAAAAGGTTTGCCAAGTGTAGCTCTGACTGGAGAGGAGCCCCCGTGGGAGGGTGTGCGTCTTCTCCCAGAGGTCACAATCACTGGAGCAGCCGCCCTGCAGGGAGCACCTGGCCTGCGACCCACAGCCATTCTTTGCAACGGGTGCTGTTGTGCAAATGCTTAGAGGTGACATAAACAGAGCATCTCCCGCCCATCACTTCATCAAAGAGCCAGGAGCCAGCAGCAGGACCCTCCTGAGTGGGGACTGAGGGTCCACTCTCCTGACATAGAGGGGCCACAGAATCCAGTTCAGCCCTTCCTGTCAGCCCTGGAAGATCCTGACAATGTTGTCACCCCAACCATACTCCTCCTTCAACAGCCACCTCATGGGATTGGGGTCGGGGACTTGGTGGGAGAGGAGCAGACACAGTCGGCAGAGGATGGGGGTCCAGGTTCAGCCAGGCATCAAGGTCAGGACTCTGAGGGGTAACTGAGGGTCCCCCAACCCACGCCCAACTCCACCACCACCACCATCACGACCTAAGCCCCAGTGTCCCCACTGGCATCCCTCCCCTACCATCCCCAATCCCTCCCTTTACCCCGCTCACACAAACATCTTCACACTCACCCCCATCCCAATCCAGGCAGAATCCAGTTCTGCCCCTGCTCTCAACCCAGGGAAGCCCAGGTGCCCGGATGTGACGCCACTGACTTGGACATTAGTGGTTAGAGAGAAGCGAGGTTCTCGGTCTCAGGGGTGGCTTGAGATCGGTGGAGGGAAGCGGGCTCAGGCTCTGTAAGAAGGCAAGGTGACACGCTGAGGGAGGACTGAGGACCCACTTACCCCAGATAGAGGGCCCCAAATAATCCAGCGCCGCCCCTCCTGCCAGCCCTGGACCACCTGGTGGTGGACTTCTTAGGCTGCGCCACCCCCAGCCCCCTGCTGCTTAAGCCACTGGGGACTCTGGAGTCAGAGCTCATGTGACCAGGGAAGGGCTGCTTAGGAGAGGGCAGCATCCAGGCTCTGCCAGACATCACGCTCAGGATTCTCAAGGAGGGCTGAGGGTCCCCAAGACCCCACTCCCGTGACCCAACCCCCACTCCAATGCCCACTCCCGTGACCCATCCCCCACTTCATTGCCATTCCCACCCCATCCCACATCCCCCACCCCATCCCTCCACCCTGATTCCCATCTGCCCTGCCTTTCCACGCTCACCGCCACCGCCACCCCCACCCCCACCCCCACGCCCACGCCCACCCCCACGCCCACGCCCACTCCCACCCCCACCCAGGCAGGATCCGGTTCCCGCCTGGGAACATCCGGGTGCCCGGATGTGACGCCACTGACTTGCGCATTGGGGAGCAGAGAGAAGCGAGGTTCCCAGTCTAAGGGACTGCGTGAGTTCGGCCGAGGGAACCGGGTCCAGGCGCTGTGAGGAGGCAAGGTGAGAGGCTGAGGAAGGACTGAGGACCCCGCCACCCCAGATAGAGAGCCCAGAATATTCTAGCGCCACCCTTGCTGCCAGCCCTGGACCACCCGAGGGAAGACGTCTCAGCCTGGGCTGCCCCCAGACCCCTGCTCCATAAGCCTTGAGAGACACCAGGTTCTTCTCCCCAGGCTCTGGAGTCAGAGGTTGTTGTGACCGGGGCAGGACTGGTTAGGAGAGGCAGGGCACAGGCTCTGCCAGGCATCAAGGTCAGGACCCAGAGGGAGGGCTGTGGGCCCCCAAGACTGCACTCCAATCCCCATTCCTACCCCATTCACATTCCCATTCCCCACCCAACCCCCATCTTCTCAGCCACACCTCCACCCGCATCCCCTACCCCCACTCCGTCACCTGACCACAACCCTCCACCCCCAGCACCAGCTCCAACCCTTCTGCCACCCCACTCTCATTCCCCCCAGCCCCACCCTCATCTCTCTCATGCGCCCCACTCCCATCCGCTCCCTCATTCTGGCAGAATCCGGCTTGCCCCTGCTCTCAACCCAGGGAAGCCCTGGATGGCCCGATGTGACACCACTGACTTGCACCTCACAGATCTGAGAGAAGTCAGGTTCATCTAATGGTTCTGAGGGGTGGCTTGAGATCCACCGAGGGGAGTGGTCTGAAGCTCTGGTAGGAGACAAGGTCAGAAGCTGTAGAAAGCCTTAGGAGGCCTCCACTCCAGGTAGATGGCCCCAAAATGATCCAGTACCACCTCTGCTGCCAGCCCTGGAGCACCAAGATGGAGCAGACTTCTAAGCTTAACCTGCAGGGGACTCTGGCCACCACTGTCCCCACTACCGTTTAACCCACAGGAGAATCTGGAGTCGGAGCTTATGTGATGAGGGCAGGGCTGGTCAGGAGAGGGCAGGGCCCAGGCATCAAGGTCCAGGCATCCACCCGGCATCAACATCAGGACCCTGAGAGGGAACTGAGGCTCCCTCACCCCCACCTGTATCCTCGTCTCCACTCCCACGCCACTCACATTCCCATCCCCACCCGCTACCCACAACCACATCTTGTCAGAATCCCTGCTGTCAACCCATGGAAGCCCTGGGAATGGCGGCCAGGCATAGCGATCTTGACGTCCCTATCCGGGGCTGATAGAGGGAAGGGGCTTTGGAAGGGAAGGGGCTTGAACAGGACCTCAGGGGAGCAGAGGGAGGCCCCTGATTGGAAATGAGGGAGGCTTCAGGGAACCCAGCACCCTAGGACAGGAGATCCACCTCACCCCCATCTGAGACTGAGGCTGCCTCCTTCTGCCTCAAGAATTAGAGTGATGGGGACTCAGATCAGCATAGAGGTGGGACCTGTCAGGATCACGAGGAGGAGAGGAGGGAGGACTCAGGTGACCTTGGAATCCAGATCAGTGGGGATCTCCACCCTGGGAGGTCCAGGGATGGTGGCCACAAGTGGCCCTTCCTGCACCTTTGAGGTGACAGAGGACAGAGCTGTGGTCTGAGTGTAGCAGGACGAGTGGCAGACAAAACTCCTCAGACACCAGATTAAAGAAGGAAGAGGTTTTTTTTCGGCCGGGAGCGTCGGCAGACTCGAGTCTTAAGAGCCGAGCTCCTCGAAAATAAATACTTGGCCTTTTTAAAGGCTTACAACTTTAAGGGGTCCACGTGAAAGGGTGGTGATAAATCGAGCAAGCATGGGAAACGTGACTGGGGGCTACATGCATCAGCTAACAGAACAAAAAGTTTTACAGTGCTTTTTTTCATACAGTGTCTGGAATTTACAGATAACACAAGTAGTTTAGGTCAGGGGTTGAGTTATTATTATTACTTTTTTTTAACTCCTAGGGCCGGGTAGTGGTGCCAAGGTTGTCTGGCTATTTATCTTACTTTTGTTTCTTTCTAACTTTTTGCTTTCTCTCTTTCTGCTTGTTTGTGAACTAGGCAAGGTGGAGGGAGGAGGACAGCAGATGTAGTAGTGGTCTCTTTCCTTATGAGAAGTGGGGCCTCAGGTCAAGAGAGGGAGGAGTCCCAGGATCTTCAAGGCCCAAGGTGTGCACGCTTCATGAGGACTGGGGATACCCCCGGCTCAGAAAGAAGGGACTCCACAGAGTCTGGCTGTCCCCTGTTATAGCTCTGGGAGGACCAGATCATGGATGGCCATATGTTCCAGTCTCACTTGTACCATAGGCAGGAAGTTGAGGAGCCCTCTGGGAGATGGGGTCTTGGGGTAATGGAGTGATGTCTGCTTATCTCAAGGAATTGGGGGATGAGGGAGCGCAGGCCCTGGTAGGAGGAAAGATGAGTAACCCACAGTAGGCCATCAGAACCCTCACCCCAGAACCAAAGGAGTCAGCCCTGGATCCCTCACGTGGGGTGTCAGGATGTGGCTGTGTCTCACTCCTGTTTCCAGATCTCAGGGAGGTGAGGACTTTATTCTCAGAGGGTGACTCAGGCAAACATAGGGGACCCCATATGGTCGAAAGAGAAATCCCAGGATCCACCAAGGGTACATGTGCACCAGAACGCTGACAGGGACAGCAGAGAAATCCTCCCTGCCCCTACTGTCACCCCACAGAGCATGGGCAGGGCTGTCTCCTGAGGTCACTCACTTATTCTGGGATCACTGATGTCAGGGAGGGAAAGGCCTTCGTCTGAGGGGCTGCACTCAGGTCAGTAGCGGGAGCATCCCAGGCCCTGCCAGGAGTCAAGGTGAGGACCAAACAGGCGCCTCACCCAGAACACATTAATTCCACTGAATTTTGTTATTTCTTGCTGTCCTTCCCCGAGGACCTAGGCACGTGTGGCCAGACGTGGGTCCCCTCCTGTCCTGTTCCTTATCAGGGACGTGAGCACCTGATCTGCATTTCTTGGAGCAGCAAAAGGGTGGAATTCAGGCCCTGCCAGGAAAAAGGTGAGGGCCCTGCGTGAGTACAGAGGGGACAATCCACTCCATGAGAGTGGGAACGTCACAGAGTCCAGTCCACCCTCCTGATAGCACTGAGGGCCCAGGGCTGTGCTTGCAGTCTGCACCCTGAGGGCCCATGGATTCCTCTTCAAGGAGCTCCAGGAACCAGGCAGTGAGGCCTTGGTCTGAGACAGTGTCCTCATGTCACAGAGCAGAGGATGCACAGGCGGTGCCAGTAGCTAATGTTTGCCCTGAATGCACATTAAGGGCCCCACCTGCCATGGGACTCCAGAGAGTCTGGCCTCACCTCTCTACTGTGGTCAGTCCTGAAGAATCGACCTCTGCTGGCCAGCTGTACCCTGAGGTGCCCTCTCAATTCTTCCTTCAGGTTCTAAGGGAACAGGCCAACCCGGAGGACAGGATTCCCTGGAGGCCACAGAGGAGCACCAAGGAGAAGATCTGTAAGTAGGCCTTTGTTAGAGTCTCCAAGGTTCAGTTCTCAGCTGAGGCCTCTCACATGCTCCCTCTCTCCCCAGGACTATGGGTCTCTATTGTCCAACTCCTGCCCACACTCCTGCCTGCTGCCCTGACCAGAGTCATCATGTCTGTTGCAAAGAAGAGTCAGCAATGCAAGCCTGTGGAAGGCCTTGAGACCGCAGAGGAGGCCCCGTGCCTGGTGGGTGCACAGGCTTCTGCTGCTGAGGAGCAGGAGGCTGCCTCCTCCTCTGCTCTGGTCCTGGGCACACTGTGGGAGGTGCCTACTGCTGGGTCAACAGGTCCTCCCCAGAGTCCTCAGGAAGCCTCCGCCTTCCCCACTACCATCAGCTACACTCTCTGGAGGCAATCTGATGAGGGCTGCAGCGGCCAAGAAGAGGAAGGGCCAAGCACCTCTCCTGACCCGGAGTCCGTGGTCCGAGCAGCATTCACTAACAAGGTGGCTGGGTTGGTTCATTTTCTGCTCCTCAAGTATAAAGCCAAGAAGCCGGTCACAAAGGCAGAAATTCTGGAGAGTGTCATCCAAAATTACAAATGCTACTTTCCTGTGATCTTCTGCAAAACCTCCGAGTCCCTGAAATTGATCTTTGGCATTGATATGAAGGAAGTGGACCCCACCGGCCACTCCTATGTCCTTATCACCTGCTTGGGCTTCTCCTGCAATGGCCTGCTGGGTGATGATCAGATCTTTCCCAAGACAGGCCTCCTGATAATCGTCCTGGGCATGATCGCAATGGAGGGCGACTGCGCATCTGAGGAGGAAGTCTGGGAGGAGCTGAGTGTGATGGAGGTGTATGATGGGAGGGAGCACAATGTCTATGGGGAGCCCTGGAAGCTGCTCACCCAATATTTGGTGCAAGAAAACTAACTGGAGTACCGACAGGTGCCCAGCAGTGATCCGGCACGCTACGAGTTCCTGTGGGGCCCAAGGGCCCTCACTGAAACCAGCTATATGAAAGTCCTGGAGCATGTGGTCAGGGTCAATGCAAGAGTTTGCATTTCCTACCCATCCCTGCATGAAGCAGCTTTGAGAGAGGAGGAAGAGGGAGTCTGAGCATCAGTCGCAGCCAGGGCAGTGGGAGCGGGGCTGGGCCAGTGCACCTTCCAGGGCCCTGTTCAGCAGCTTCCTCTGCTTCGTGTGCCATGAGGCCCGTTCTTCACTCTTGTTGGAAGAGAGCTGGAACCCAGGAGGTAGAGGTTACAGTGAGCCGAGATCACACCACTGCACTCCAGCCTGGGCAACAGAATGAGACTCTGTCTTCCAAAAAACAAACAAAAAAACCATAGTATGTCTGATTATATTAATCTCCAAACCAGCTGGTGTTTAATATTGCTAGAGCTATAATAGAATCAGGAATAGGAAACAAACAGGAAAAAAAAATGGAATTTTACAAGGATTTATATTTGCAAAGAAAAAAGGACTTATTTGGAGTTGTTTATTGAAATTCCCCCAAGACTATTTTTTGAACTTATATATACAGACAGCATCAAGAGAAGGAGCTTAGGAGTTCTCATAGGGTTTAGGAACTACTAGACCTTGTGTATTATGTTCATCTCAGCACTCAAGCAACTAAAAGATAACTGGAACATGGTATCTCACAGTGAATAACATGGTTGGTTACTTTACTAGGCTGACATATGGAGACAGGGTTCTTATGAATACGAGAGACACACCCAGGTTCAACTGAATGTATAGTGCATGAGGGATTAGCTGTACAGTGTTATCTGCAAAGTACCTAAAAGTGTTTTCTAACTAAGCACCAACTTCTTAGACTAGTCTTGGGCACACAAAAAATATCTAATACTAAGCTTATAGGAATACTTTATTTGGTCACTTGGTGGGGGAAGGTTGCTGAGACATATGACAACATTTAATACCTAAAGGTAGGAGGAAGCAAGGAAAGAGAAAATGCAGAAAGGAAGAGTGAGAGCCAAAAGAAGGGTGCCACCTCTGTAGACTCTCTAACAGAATTAAATTGATAAGATAACAGAAGTAAATGGGCATGCCTTGAGGGAAACATCAATACACTTTTGGAATCTGAGGCAAAAAGTGAAATGATTTACCTCTTGCCAAATCTATTGTCATTGCCCATGGGAAGTTCCCATTCTACTCTTGAATGCACAAGTAACATTCCTTGCCTAAGGATTAGCATTCTGTGATAATAGTGGTAATGACAGCTGCTTTAAATTAGTGGCAAGTTCAGAATGAAACACTGACCACCAGGCTATGTTTCTGAATCCAGTCTATGCCCTCGAATGTATTCAATCTACTTTCTATGGTATCCCTGAAAGCTATGGCAAAAGAGTTGTATGGTAGGGGCAGGGCTCCTTATGGGGACACATACGGCTCCAGAAAACAAGTATTCCATCTTCTCACCATGACTTTTTGGTTTTCTTTTTTTTTTTTTTTCTCTTTTCTCCAAGACTAGTAATTTCCAGTTTCTTCTCTACCAGTCTGGATGCCCATGGTGAACTTTAGAGATATCCACCAGCTTCATCAATTCCCTCAGTTACATCTACCTATCTTTTGAGCCCAGATGAACCCAATCATGTGTGTTCTCCTCAGTCCCAGGCTGCTGAGCAACGCTGGAGAAAAATCACAAAACTATACGGTTTGGTGTCTCTCCAGAATTATGGTTTCCAGCTTGAGTTGGGATTTCAGAATTACTTCAAAATGTTTAAATTTGCTCCTGGTCATTTTCCTCCTTCAGTTCCCAGTTTCATTTATCACTCTATTTAACTTGTTAACCATCGCTGTCTGCTATTAACCTTGCCTCCTTTTACACAGAGAAAACAGAGGACATCAAATGGCATTTCCCATCACTCCACCTCTGTCAACGAATCCACCAGTAACATCTCAGAGATCCTTCTGTCTAGCACTGATGATCTCCAAGAGGATCTTATTGTATCAGTTACTCCTTCCTTCTGTATTTTCAATTTTCCTATTGCCTCCCCAACATGCTTTAGCTGTTCTCATCTAAAGAAACAATAATAACAACCACAATAAACTAACAAACAATAAACCATCTTTAACAGATCTTACCTTTCCCTCTTTTGTGCCACCTTCAAGCTCCCTAAACTTGGATTTATTCCTCAACCCATTACAATCTGGTTTCTAATTAAACAATTTTTTGCCAGCGTCACCAAAAACTTCTGAATTGCTAGTCTCCAAAGTGCATTCTTCAACTTCATTGTTTTCTTTCTTTCTTTTAAAAGTCAAGTTCACTGAAGTATAATTTACATACAATAAAATTCGCCCTTTTAATACTCTTTTACCATCTAATAAGTTTTGCCTTATATGTTGGTTCCCTGAGATCTGTAAAATAACTACCAAATCCCAAACACCTTTGCTTCATACACAAATCCCTTTGGAATGTCTCATATGAATGTCTCATATAACACAGGTTCAAGTTCTTTCTTCAGTCATCAGAGTAACAGAGGTTGAAGATGCAATAAAATAAGTGCCAACTCTTGCTACTCCTGTTTCAAACAAGGAAATTTAGATAATGATTATACACATTTCTGCAAATAAAACATTCTAGTGCTTACATCAGTCCTTAGTTGTTAAGATTAAATATTCACTACTTACAGTTTCCAACACATTTTTTTTTTAGAACATGGCCATTTTTTTTTTCTTTTTTTATCTTTTTTTGAGACGGATTCTTTCTCTGTCGCCCAGGCTAGAGTGCAATGCCACGATCTCAGCTCACTGCAACCTCTGTCTCCCAAGTTCAAGCGATTCTCTGGCTTCAGCCTCCTGAGTAGCTGGGATTACAGGCATGTACCACCACGCCAAACTAATTTTTGTATTTTTAGTAGAGACGGGGTTTCACCATGTTGGCCAGGATGGTCTCGATATCTTGACCTCGTGATCCGCCCACTTCAGCCTCCCAAAGTGTTGGGATTACAGGCTGAGCCACCGCACCCAGCTGCTATTTCTTTTTGAAGTTCACTTTGTTCATCAAAAAGAAGCCTTTCATGATTCTCCACGTTCTTGATACTCCAAAACAAAAAGTATAGTTCACAGATAAACCACCACTTTTCATCTCACGTTTTAAACATAGCAATTTAAATTTCAAAGGAAACAGCATTTAACTTATTTTTTCCACATTTAAAATTGTAATAAATACATGGAACTTGAAATACCCACTTTTTTTTTTTTTTTTTTTTTTTGAGACCGAGCCTCACTCTATCACCAGGCTGGAGTGCAGTGGTGCAATCTTGGCTCACTGCAACCTCTGCCTCCTGGGTTCAAGCCATTCGGCAGCCTCAGCCTCCCCAGTAGTAGGGACTACAGGCATGCGCCACCACGCACATTTAAAATTTTTAATGCCAGATTTGAGAGAAATATTATTTAGCAGGTACAACAGTCATGTACTTTGCTTGAAAAAATGAGGAACGGTTAAAGACAAGATGGAGTCACGACAAAAAAAGACTGGCAGCCCTATATCATGAAATATTATATATTTTTTTCACCAAGTAGTGACCCATTTATTGTCACTCATAATTCAGGTAACATGATTTCCACTGATGGGATAAAATGGTCTCTGATACAAACTCATCAAATTAGAGAAAACTTACTTTTGAAATATATACTATTCATTCAACAAACAGTTAAATAGTTCCCACTACTTAAAATGTTGTATGTTAAGTACTGAGAAAGAAGTAAAACATGAATACACACTCTCTTTCATATTCCTGTGACATGAGCAAAGGCACAAATAAAATAATACAAAAATTTATAATTGGTATGGACATGCAACTCACTCAGGCATGTAGGCAAAAATGGAGATTAAATGCTGGCATAGTTGCCAAAAGAATCATATTTCAATCAGTTCTTAAAAAGATTTAAAAACATTGTGAGGGAAGAGCATGAGCAAAGCCTGGAGGTAATGGTGAGTTCCTTCAGAGAAGGCTATCAACCAGGAAAGACAGAATGGAGCAAAACAAGCCTAAAAGGCGGTCATGTAAAGGGGAGTGTCTCTGACTAAGAATTTAGAAGTGGACATCACAGGTTGGGAGGAGGGAAGGGCTAGGTTTTAGGAAGATAATATTGCCAATCTACAAAGGATGGCTCAGAGGAGAAAAGAGAACTCAGCTGAGTTTAATAGTACAAGCAAGGAAAGATGATGTGAACTAGGGCAGCAGCAGTGGGAATTTAAAGAAGGAAATTAAAGGACCACAGCAGAGGTAAAAATTGCAGGGCCTAATGATAACTGCATGGGAAGCATAATGGACTTGGAATAGTCAAAGATAATACCAAAGCTCCAACCCTGGTAACATGTAGCAATAACATTGAGAATATAACTTTTCTATTCAAATGTTCACACCAATGAATAAATGTTTTGTGGGAACATTATAGCAATATATTCTGTACTTGTGAGTTCTATTGAAATAACTGTCTTGTCTTGTAAATATATATTTCTTAAGTGGCTTAAAAATTGTATGTTCAAACTCTTTTACCAGTTTATTTAAATCATCTAAGTTAGTTTGGAAGAGTGACACATGAACATGTATTTTCACAAGACTATTAAAAAGAATACTTCCCTCAAAAAAAAAAAATAATTTCATTGGCTCCTAAAAAACATGTATCTACATGAAGAAGAGGTCATTGTCAGATGAAAATTCACTCATGTGAAATACAACAGCAGATAATTATCAATGCACAAAGTGTTAATAATCTGCTGACTTTCCCATTCTGTTATACATCTGAACCATCTCTTATGATTACAAATTGTTATCCAGGTAATGAAATAATCTCTACAAGGAACCCCCATGATACAAGTTTAACTATGTCAAAAAACTGCACTTGTACCCCTGAACTTAAACATTTAAAACATTATCATGTAAAACCATCACTAATCACTAATAATTTTGAAAGCAAATTTGCCATAAAACACTCATATGTTACAGCAGAAAATAAAAGAGATACTCAATAGTTACACTTGCCTACTTCCTATTGAGCTAAAACTGTTGAAACAAGACAAGGAAAAGACATCTAGAAAGGATTTAGGGACTTTCTGCTTTCCACTCTAGATTTATCGCTGATCTCTTAAAAGCTGATTGGTGAACATAAAATGTTAGTACATGATCAATTTTACACACAATATGTCTATTTCTAAATGAATTATCCAATTTACATTTTCCTATTCTAAATAATTCCCACAGAACCGTTAATGAATCCTAAAAATACAAATACATTTACCACTTACGGTAAATCTGGAACAATAAATTCAAAATGGAAATGATAATTAAACCAAAACATTTTTTCCATAAACTGGGAAGCAAGCAACCTGTCTTCTATTTTTATGTATGCATTGTATTTTATAAGAGTGTATTATGTTACTAAATTTAACAGACTTTTTCAAATTGCTCATGTAACAGTTTAATTTTTTTCAGTTTCTCTCTCTGGACAAGCCTAGCATGTAGATAAGCTTTTAGTTGCTCTTGAAGTATCTTCTAGAAATGTAAAACAAAAAAGTGACAAAAATTGGATAAATTTTAATATTTACAAAACATAATTCTACACTTTTAAAGGAATCCTCTTCAAATCAATACTTCTTAACCTTTTCTGTTTAACAACATCTATGACCAATGTTAAATAATTATTTTCACTATTCATATGCCAAAACAGTACAGTAATCCTTTTCTTCAGTCACTAAGTAAAGAATTTTCTTTCTCATAAATATTCAGCACGTATGTCCTAATTCTTGATTTCAAATTTCCAGATGACCCTTCCTAAAATTTGTTTACCACAGATAGGTAGTATCTATACAACAAGCCTACCTAACAGAAATTAAGTAAGAAATATTATTTCTTACTAATATTTTAAACTTGTATTACATCTCAATCATTTCACTATGCACAGAAATTAACCTTCCAATAATGCTGGCCTTTCTGCTCTTCTGCTCCTTGACCTAATACCCAACAACAGCATTCTCCCCTCTCTTACTTGCCACTCACATAGTCATCCCCTAGATTTTCTCATTCCTTCCCAGTAACTGCAACATCTACATAATGTTATTGATAGCAATGATAAATGGGAACCATAGGTCAGACAGGATCATGAAAATTTTTAATAAACTCATTTAAGAACTCTTTAATCCTCAAAACAACTCTGAGGTAGGTACTCTTACTCTTACTATGTCCCTTTCAAAGATAAGAAAACTGGGGCACAGAGATAATTTCCCCATGGTTTCAGAGCTAGCCAGGGTCAAACTGGAGTTGTATCCCAAGCAGTGTGGTTCCAGAGTCCAGGTCCTTGACCACTGCACTTGGCTGTTTCTGCATCTTTCCAACATACAACCACTATCTCCCTACCCTTGTAGGAAACTCACTTTAGTATACAGCTCAGTGGTCTATAAAGACCTAACACCCATGAAATGGAACACTTTTCGCGGCTCAGCACCACACCCCTATGTGCTCACTTTCCTCAGTGCCAGCCTAAATTCCATAGCCAGTCATCATAACTCCATCCTTGGGTATATTTCCTCCCCACTGCTCCCTCCTCACAGTGCTCTGATACACCCCAGCGGAGGAAATTCCAACTCTACTCTGCTCTTGCACAAATATGCCAACTGGGCTCACTTTAACTTCAAAATCACCATGACACCAACCTCAGTGGGACCTCTAATACTGCTTGGCAATGATATTCTTCTAGTCCATTAACAGGAACCCTCTCTGGGCTCACGTTCTCTACCTTCTTTGCTTTGAACTTCAGCATGAACTCTTACTACTTGAGGCATTGATACAATGGATTAATTATCAAGTTAATCCTGATACCAACAGGTAGTTTTTCTTCTAGTTTCTGAGTCTTCTTCATGTCTGTGTTCCAGCCTTGAAACAACTTCCAGAACTGCTTAAAATATTCATAATGAAGTTTCTGCCTGCAACACATAATAAGGAACATGGTCATACTTCATAAGGAGATGAAAAGTTAATCAAAAGCAAGACAAAACTGATTTCATAGAATTCATAGTACAAAATAAGAAGGACATAATAGCAGCTGAAAACTTCTCACTGGGAAAGGATGAAGTGAGTTTCTCTCATTCTAAAAGTATTTCTTCTGACTACTAGAGAAGCTATCTCACATTCTTTATCTCCTAAAACCAATGGAAGATGGACTATGCTATAAATTTCCCAGAAACATCCATTTTCACTAAAGGAGTTTACTTTTTATTTCCTCTTGTGGAATAACATAGGGGTTCTGCTAAGTAGATTCAATGATGATATCATAGCCATTCATCCCATAA